AAAAAGTGTATAAAGTATCACTTGCATTTGCATTTTGAATTTTAAACGAACATTTTTCAAAATCAAAAAGCATAATGATATCCAAGCAATATTAAACCCTTCTGGTGTATTTAAATTACATCTTTCATTTATAACACACAATAGATATTAAACACTAGCTTTGTTTTATTTGTTTAGATCAGTGTTTTTCAACCCTGGCCCTCAAGGCACACTGCCCTGCATGTTTTAGATGTTTCTCAGCTTCCACACATTTGTTATCAATTGATAGCAGATTATCAGGCTTTGCTGAACTGCAATCATCTGAATCGGGTGTGCTGAAGCTCAGAAACATCCAAAACATGCAGAGCAGTGTGCCTTGAGAACCAGGGTTGAAAAACACTGTATGACAAAGGTTTTTAATCTTAAATGCAAAATGCATGTATTTTTGGCTTAATTACCTTTCTGAAGGGAATGTTCTCTCAGCAAAATTGGTAAAATAGGTAAAACAGAATTATTTAGACTATTAATTAAAAACAATTAATTGGATTATTTCAGCAATAGACTTTGACGCATGAAGACAACCAGTTGTTTAGAAGTAATCTCAGAAAAAAAAAATCTGTCTTGTAGCATCATAATAAAAGGTGTGGAGTTTGTTTTGGGGGACTTTAACTGGAATTAAATGCCTTATTCAGACACATAATTTGATGGAAATGGAAATTATCAACCTACAGAGGGCTGCATTCAAAGACACCCCAAAAATTACAGTGAAAAAATTATGCGGCAGGCCAGTCCACTTTGCTGAAATTTCATTGCAGCAACTCAAAATGGTATTCAGTCATTTGTATGGCCTCCATGTGCGTGTATGCATGCCTGACAACGTCGGGGCATGCTCCTAATGAGACGACAGATATCACCATCCTGGTGTATCTCCTCCCAGATCTGGACCAGGGCATCACTGAGCTCCTGGACGGTCTGAGGTTGCGTCCCCAAGGTGCTCTACTGGATTTAGGTCAGGTGAGTGTGGGAGCCAATCAATGGTATCAATTCCTTCATCCTCCAGGAACTGCCTGCATACTGTCGCCACATGAGGCCGGGCATTGTCGTGCACCAGGAGGAACCCAGGACCCACTGCACCAGCATAGGGTCTGACAATGCATGCAAGGATTTCATCCCAATACCTAATGGCAGTCAGGGTGCCGTTGTCTAGCCTGTATAGGTCTGTGCGTCCCTCCATGGATATGCCTCCCCAGACCATCACTGACCCCCCACCAAACCGGTCATGCTGAATGATGTTACAGGCAGCATAACGTTCTCCACAGCTTCTCCAGACCATTTCACGTCTCTCAAATGTGCTCAGGGTGAACCTGCTCTCATCTGTGAAAAGCACAGGGTGCCATCCTGGAGGAGTTGGACTGCCTGTGCAACCTCTGTAGGGTCCAGGTAGCGCCTCATGCTAACAGTAGTAACAGTGACCCTAGCCAAATGCAAAACTGGTGAAAAGGAGTCAGAAAAGATGAGGAGGGGAAAAAATGTCAGGGGCCTCCACCAGTAAAACCATTCCAGTTTTGATGGCTGTCTCGTTGTTGCCCCTCTAGTGCACCTGTTGTTAGTTTCATTAACACCCAAGCAGCTGCTGCTTACTTGACCAAATCAATATCCCAGAAGTTTAAGTAACTTGACTCTGATTATAAAGTATTCCTTTAATTTTTTGAATAGTGTATAAAGGCTTGGAATCCTGTAGCATCATGAACACAACACAATTTAAAAACAACAGCTTCACCCCTACATGAAACAAATAATCTTTCATTACTGGGTCATTTTGAGACACAAATATAAACAAATCAACACATAACCAGTGTTGGACACGTTACTTTGAAAAAGTAATTAGTTATAGTTACTAGTTACTTCTCCCAAAATGTAACTGAGTTACTAACTGAGTTACTCCACAATAAAAGTAACTAGTTATTAGTAAAAGTAACTATTGCGTTACTTTTGCGTTTCTCGCCCCCGTGACCCTCACCACCCGGCACCCAAAAACTCGCTGTGCGTTTCTAAAGCCACCTGCTTAGAGTGGACGACAAAATAACGCCGCTACTCCCATCACTGCACATAACCCATTGCTTAACTGAACCAGCCATCTCATTTTAACTCCAATAGAAAAACTGATCCTGTATGCTGCAACATTGCACAATAAAGTAAAAAATCTTGGTGTTATTTTTGTGATGCTGAGAAACTAGTTCATGCATTTGTTACTTCAAAGCTGCACTATTGTCATTCTTTACTATCAGGAAGTCCACAAACTGTAGTTAAAAGCCTTCAGCTGATCCAAAATGCTGCAGCCAGAGTTCTGATGAGATGAAAAAGAGAGATCAAATCTCTTCTATCCTGGCTTATCTCCATTGCTGTTGAATGCAGAATAGAATTTAAAATCCTCCTTCTCACATATAAAGCTTTAAATGGCCAAGCTCCATCTGTTTTCTGATTGTTCCT